CTTGGTGAAGATTCTCATGGAGTATACGTCTGACACTTGTATTCTTAGCACCACTTGGTGAAGATACTCATGGAGTATACGTCCGACACTTGTTCTGTTAACACCACTTGGTGAAGATCCTCATGGAGTATACGGCTGACACTTGTTCTGTTAGCCCCACTTGGGGAAGATCCTCATGGAGTATACGTCTGACACTTCTTCTGTTAGCACCACTTGGGGAAGATCCTCATGGAGTATACGTCTGACACTTCTTCTGTTAACACCACTTGGTGAAGATCATCATGGAGTATACGTCTGACACTTGTTCTGTTAGCACCACTTTATGCTGAAAGGCGACAGGTCGACTTCTTAGGACTTCGTCCAATTGCTGCAAGTATTGCAGCGATGTTTTCTTCTGTAGGATGTTTCACGTGCTTGGATGGACAAACACTTCCCTCATCACGAACTTTTTTTAACTAAAAGGAGACTGGTGGTACGACACGGAGCATCTCTACGTCGAAATTCCCTTCTGAAAGCTCTCCGAGTTGCAACAACAAAGCCATATTTAATTCGTGTTGGCACATCATGATGATGCATTATTCAAATCTTCAAGGGCTCACTTGTAACAGACAAAAAATAAAATTATTGAAATTTATAGTTAAACTTAGAATTATCAAATAACATGGTGTCAGATGTAAATGGCCCACCCTTTATATGATATTCACTTTGAAATTTATGGAATGTTACTAGGATCTCGTATTACAGTTTCTCTAGAACTATTTTCGAAATTGTTGACCTATCTGTTTTTTGCGAAAATCCCATTCCAAGGCAAGTTTAAAAAAGGCATTTGCATTGCTGTTTCTATGGTGTGTGTTTTTTCTTTCTTATAAGAAACTGAAACTGAATCAATGTTTTCTTTTTTTTTTCACGGACTTAAGTAAACGCCGTACATTTTATTTGGTAGATTATTATCGACTCAAAGATTATTTAATCTAGATTAAAAATTAGCTATACCTATGATTTTCTGTTCGTTGTTTTTCATCGATAAGTTAATAACATCCACAAATCCAATTTGTAAAATTAAATGAAGAATTAAAAGCATGCATGAAAATAAGTTTGTGATCGTCATCATCCGTGTTTTAATACATACTGAAAATGAAAGAAAAGCAAGAATAAGTAAAAAATACCACTCACCAAGATAATAGAAAACTTCGCCCATTGTTACATCAAAAGTCATCAGATAAGCTAAAGTAAATTCTCCAGGCTTTAAAAAATAAAAGATGAAAGGAATTCAATTTCCTGTGTCGCATCAACATTATTTGATAAAGAAAAAGAATGTTTACTTACTAAAATTTCTCCAGTCTGGTATGAAGACTATGAAGACCGCTAGGTTCGGGGATTCAAGCTTAATCAATAATGAAGGCGGTTCTTGAAATTAGATGTTCAACCAATTTTGCCTATAGGTCATACAGTGATCAGTGTCGTATAAAAACAAATATAACTATATTTAGAAAGCTTACTTAAAAATATTCCTTTACCATTTGTATTATTAATTTGATCAGTTTAAAAGTACAAAATATTGTCCGGACATCAGACCTGCAGCGAAGTTTCTATTGCAATAGGCTCCGTCGGAATACTGTCATGTCCGAAGCACACCACTCCTCCCTGACAGCTTTCCGTAATCTATCCCAGGTTCGAATACGATGGTTTCCCGGTGCCCGTTTCAACAATACGATTATACTGAAGCCCATAGCCGTTGCGTCAGGACTTTATTGGTGTGTCTTTGTATGGAATAGCATGACTACTCGTTTCATTTTCTAGCTCCTTGTGGTATGAGTGAAAGCCATATCTTGGTGAACCAATACCCTGTTGGCCTCGTTTCGAGACAGATATCCTTCTTGATTATACTGCATAGTGTTACCTAGAGCACTAGGACGGTTTTGGCCATTGGCCATTGTGTTCATGAATTCTCATCTGTTTCAACATGATGCCTTTGATTATAATTTCTTGCAGATCTCTTTCTGAATGGTCCTAGTTTCCTAAGTTGATCCATATTCCTTTGCTTTTTAATGCCATTGAGAACAAGGAATATCCCCGAATTGGAAATTTCTGATCCCCGTACTGAATACATCTTTGTGATCTGGATGTACGAATATTTTGTATCGGAGAAAGCTGTTGCATACTCTTTCCAAAAGCAATCAATTTTTACTAACATCATAATACCTACGAATGCTAAACAGTCAAAATGCAATTCTGGTATACGCCATTCCACCGCGACTTTATATGTGATGCGATTGTCACGTAACTTGCTGATTTGCAATTTAAAATCGTTTTAATATATCGTACCCAACCTTATATATTCTTTATTGTGAAAATTATTTGTCATAAATTAAAAACATGCAAGTTTGAAAATTATAAGAAACTATTTAAGTTTAATAAATCTTAGAGTTAACAAATGCAACCAGGGATAATTATAGTCATAAATCCCGTTGCTGCAATAGTTTTTATTTATAGTTTTCTGGGAATTTTAGTATAATTAAATCGACTTTTTTCACGTTTGCTCAAATTTTGCGTATCGATGTGAATGCGTATTAAATACACAAATTAAGACAAGCATATTATCATTTGTGAAAACGTCGTAGTTCGGCTTACTTCTCACGCCAAAGATCTTTTAATAAAACACTTTAATGAAAATGGTAGGATATCATAGAATTGGAACCATTATAATTTATGATTTCTCTAATCGGTTTAGTATAATAGTTTAATAATAATTTGTTGAAACTTTTTTCTTGATCTAAAAATGCACGAAACATTTATTTTTTTTGTGAAGCAGGCCTGGTATTTCCTGGTGGTTAGCGCTCTCAACTCATGGTTTGTGGGTCGCAGGTTCGAATCTTCTCACCAAACATGCTTGCCCTTTCAGCCGTGAGGGCATTACGATGTGATAGTCCACTGGTAAAGACTAGCTCAAGAGTTAGCAGTGGGTGGTGTTGACTAGCTGTCTTCCCTCTAGTCCATCGCTTCTCAATTAGGGACGGCTAGTGCAGATATATGTCGAGTTGATTTGCACGAAATTCAACAAATAAACACACCTTTGTCTAGCACTGCGCCATCTAGTACTACGTTTAATAAGTTACTTTAGATTGTGCTCCAGTTGTTTCTTTTTTGATAAAAGTAAATTAAACTTCATTTCAAGTTAAACGTTAATTTTATTTCAAGTTAAACGTTAATTTCAAAACAAAATTCTTCCCTCGAAAACGCCCTCTGGTGGCTCAGTGGTAAGTTTGAGGACTTACATTGTTAAAAACTGGATTTTCATATTCGCGGTGGGCAGAGATAGCTCACTGTGTGGCATTGCGCTTAACAACAAACAAAAAAAAATCCCCTAAAACAGTTATTTTAAAGATTTGGCCAATAGGTGGCATGTTAGTTGTTTTTAGAACAACCGTTGCTCTGTGTTGAGGTATGGAAAGTATTTATTCAAATGTCCCCCCCCCCCCCCAGCGGCACAACGGTATATCTGCGAACTCGCACTGCTACGAACCGGGTTTCGATACTCATGGTGGGCAGAGCACAGATAGCCCAGTGTGTAGCTTTATGTTTAACTACAAACAAATTTAATATCTATTTCTTAATTAAATCTCTCACAATAAAAGTATTTTTGTTAATTTTATTAAATGTAATTCTTAATATCCACAACTTTAGTTTATTCCAAAAAAGAAACCGCCAAAATATCGTGATAAATTTTATATCCGTGTTATAATGCGCATTTTAAAGAACTATTGCGCTTAACTGCACACTTATATACTGTCTGAACCCCCCAAAATTACCGATATGTTTTTACACAGTTCACTCTAAGGGTCTACATATTGAACAATAATAATATGTGAAATACTGTATTTTCTTTCCAGTTACAGCTTTCATTATAGAGAACTGACCAAGGAAAATTCTTGAAATCACTGATATTCTGTGTAAAATATATTGAAGACCCAGCAACAATAAGTGTTATTAAATGCAATATTGTTGGTTTTTGTTTATGTCTTATGTGTAGTTCCCATGTTATTAGGGATCCTATAACTAAACTGTTTGGTGCATAAATAGTTTTCCAATTCTAGAGTTCTATTAAAAAAAGTTTTAATTCAACTACTAGCATCGACATAATTTAGGTAACGTGTGTCATACATCTTTTACTGAATATGTCATTAATTATCAATAACTTCTAAGTATTACAGGATTTTACTTTCTTTGTTCTTGTTGCGAGGAATTGAAATCTTCAACCTGAATGACATTTTATGTGTACATAAGTTAAAGTTCAGGTTACAGCGTCCCTTATTTGTGATTACAGATCAGGGGAAGGGCAGCCAGACAGCAGCATCTGTCACCACAATGGATTTGTCCAGCTGTTTGAATCGAATAACGTAATTGACTGTCACTTTCATAACGCACCTATGGAGTGTGTTTAGTGGCATCACATTTCGAACCGTGGACATTCCATATGCAGCTTGCATCGTTAACCATAACACCATAAATAATGGTCGTTCAAAAAATAATAATCCACACATTTAATCCCATATTACATTTACGACGGAATAAGCTATAAATCTAAGGCTGATGTATAAACCCACATACTGGTTTTGTTGGTTACTATGCTTAGTACCAAAGTTTTATAGACTCAGACTGAAGCTTTGTTACGAGTGGAAGTTCTGTGGGGTATTAAGGCTGATAGTTTCAAACTAATATATTCTTACGAGTAGAAGTTTTGTGTGGTATTAAGGCTGATAGTTCCAAACTAATATATTGTTTGGATTAGGAGTTCTGGCCGGTATCAAATCTCGTAGGTTCCTGCTAGTATAAAAACTTATAGGCTCAAATTTGGTCAAAGTTGTTAGGTTCTATATGATATCAAAGCTGGGAGTCTAGTAATAAAGCACGAACTAAAAATGTGCAATTTATAGCAGCGTAAATATCAAAAATAAATTAATTTTTAGCTAGAATAAATCTTCTGCTTTCTTCCCATTCAGAACATTGTGATGAATCCGTAGAATTCAATTGTGGAGATGGAACGTGTATTGAGAAATCCCTGAAATGTAATGGGCACTTCAACTGTAAATATCGGTATGACGAGGAGGACACCATATGTTCTGTTGGTAAGTGGTGAGTCATTAGTGAAATAATCGCTTTGGTAAGGGGATTATTGACGTTTTTTTCTTACAAAGTTACATATTTCTTTCATGCAAACGACCAGGATTTTGGACACTTTACATTTGTATCTTTGATTTTGGATTAGTGATAACACTCGGTAATATAGTTATTCATGTTTTTAAATATTTGTATGTGTTTGTGTGTGTATGTGTGTTTTAGAGCAAAGCCACAATGAGTTACCTCCTGTGTCCACAGCGGGAAATCGAACCCCGGATTTTAGCATTGTAAGTCCGTAGACTTACTGCTATCCCACCGGGAGACTGTATTATTGTTTTCTTTTCATCCCTAGCCTTAAATCTTGGTTCAGAGTAAGAAGAATCGCTCTTTTGATAGGTAGCGTCTCTATATGAATGTAACTCTTAAAATCCCACGATATCGAATAGTTTAATTATCCTAGATCTTATTTCGTGAAGTGTATAAAATTGTTGTTCAATCTGTTTGAGAAGGACTGTTAAAGTCTCTTTTTTTTTCACTGTTTAATGATAGGGCTACACGACCTAGTACAAGTTTGTCCTTTGTTATCTCTTTGTAAATATTTCCCTTACGAATCCATTCAAAGTAACATAAGCTAAAATATTTTGCAGTTTTTTTACCCAGTTTGAATTATCAAATTATAGTTTTTATAACCATTGCTAATTTATCACTTCATATTATAATACTTCACAATGAAATTAAATATGGCAAATGAATATGTAAAATATTTTATTGCACAAAAATGGTTAGGATTATTATAAATAGTTTTTTTGTAAAAATGTCTGTGAAGGTGATAGTATTTGCAACGTAATGCTTTTAATAAATTTGATTTGAAAAAAAAAGCAGAATTATTGTTAGGAAAACGTGCAAATCAACTTTAACTGTAAATGAATAATATACTGTTGACATTTATATGAACGTATCGAGTGATTCTCATTTATTCTATTTTTCAATACCGTTTCAAATTATAGCAACTAACTTTATAGTAAGACTTAACTGTTAGTGAGGTAACTAGGGGTGTACCCTTAACACTTGTGGCTAGTTCAGCTTTGTACAGGGTGCGCACAAACTTGAAAGTGCTTAGAATTTAGCTTTGCAATAAAAAAAAATGCTTGAATTTTGATAAGGCACTGAAAAATGTTTCAGGATGGCTGGTTTTATTTTTACTTAGTCTTGAAAATATACTTTCTTCAACATTTTATCTCTCATTTGTAGTTTATAAAAAGATCTCGATATCCGTTTACATAATTCTTTTAACCCAAATTGATTATACTCCTTTCTGTAATGGATTATTCTTGTACTAGTGGCTTGGAACTGTTAGATTTTATAAGTAGACTAGCCTGATAGGAGTGTAAATATATCCAAACGATCGTATGTTTACATAGTCGCCATATTGGATTTAAGAAGTGTCAAGCAAATCGTATTTTCAACAGAGTTATTGATAACAGATTTATAAAAATTGGCAAATGGGTTTTTTCAGCCCATTTGCCTGACAAGATCTGAATATAGCAAGTGTTTACAGGCGTTTAACTCCGACAAAACACCAAGCCATGTGCAGTGCCTGTAACAGGGTATTCTATATCGGCGTGATGAGTGAAAGCGCTCTAAAACCACCTATGAAAAGTGATAAACTCACAGCTAACATGAAGTGTTGCAGTGAGCCATTCAGAATATCTAAATGTTTTGTGAAATCTACCAATCCCAGCCTGAAGAAAGCCAACAACCAAGAATAATAGGCCTCTTCTGCTGATGGTACTACTGCTCTTGCCACGAGTACAGGTAATGACGATGTTGCTCAATTTAGAAGGAAACTAATGTGTAGAAGACTGCATAATGGTGGAGTTTAAAAACTGTCTTCAGCCACCTTTCTTTCAGTTCATGTGAGCAAACATGACAGATATTTTCTGGTAATCCAAATTGCTGTTAAATTTTCTTAATCTTTAGTGAAAGCATGTTATATGTGTTTGTTTGGTCTCAATGAATACTGTATATCAGAACTGAAGAAGAAAATCAAAGACCATTTCTACCGATAGTTAATGAAAGTTTAAATAAGAAAACACAGTTGATGAATATTTTTGTAAAGTTCTAGGATAGTAATGATAATAAAGTTACAGCTGGTCACTTTGACTCGCATTTCCCTAGTAAGTTAATTATTAGTTAATTAATTTGGACGACTATGCAAACATTCTTATTGCGTCGAAAATCTATATTTGGGTATTGAACAAGATGGGTTTGGGGATCATTTTTATTCTACATTGAATTTTTGTTGAAGATATTACATTTAATGTAATTCTTCAAAATTGATCAACATAGGTATAAAGTTTGATTCAGATGGCAAAATGAAAATGTGACATGACACATTTTCTATTGCATCAATAAAGATGTCACCAGGCGTGTAGATTTTTTGAAAGATATAAATAGAGCCTGCGACTGTTTATCGATGTTATAAATATGGAGCAACAATAATAGATATATTAGTTACAATAATTAACAGGCGATTAAAATAAACACTATGAAACTATAATGAGCTTAATATAAAATAAGCATTACAGAAGCATTGGTAGAATTGCCATTATCGGTCCTAGTTGTCAACTTCATATCATAACGGATAATGCCTGTGGTAATAGCACCCAAATGTGTTGGGGATATCCCATCTATCAGACAACATCCAAACGCTGATGTTAAGCTAGTCAGCTATCATGGAAAACCAATTAAAGGTACGGGACTGACTGCTTACACCTATAACATCTCAACTCCTACAGCCTTTGACTGTCTGCAGCCTTAGAGTTCTTAAGGTAGAAATGAAACCACCCCTAAGATGTCTACTATGTGAAACTCCCAACCTCCACCCTTACGAAAAGATATTAAATGGAACTAAATGATCTTAAAAAGAACTGGAAACCCAACCTTCTCTCTTTCCCTTGAAGATTTACTCAAGTATAACACGGGAAAACCGAGACAGGCTAAACAACTTAAACATCATCTTTCCGTCCCTATGTCCTGAATAAAGTTATATTTTCAAAGTTAGCTACTTATATACCTAAGTAACTAATGTAAAGTATTTTCCATAATCGAAAGTTTACTTTTAAAAAATATTTTTGTATTTATTATTAAAAAAAGGTTTAAAGAATTTATTTAATTGCCAGTCTTTATATCCATTATTTTTCAGTTTATTTATGAATGATAAAACATTATCCATAAAAGAATGACTATTGTTACAGACTATTTAAAAACCTTTTTAACCGAGATATAATAATACCTTTTAACATTATACATGGAATAACACTATTGGGGATGGGTATAAATTAAATTCCCTTCTTTTAATGAAAATACTCAACCTCATTGTACCTTCTACAAATTAATGTCTAAATCTAAATAATTAGCATGAACATCATTACTATTGTTTTTTTCTGTTACAAGTTCTTTCGGATATATTACGTTTGGTGTAAAAAATTGAAGTTATTTATGGAGATCATATCATCTATGTAACGGAAGGTGTAGATGTAGAAATTAAGATTTAATACTTGTTTCAGAAATGAGTTTTCATAAAATAACAAATACAAATTGGCCATATATTAAGAGAAGTTCTCTCCCGTAGGAATACCCACTGTTTGTTTATATACTTGTTCATTGAAAGTAATATAACTATTATAAACACAGAAGTGATGTATATTTATACATTGGGCTTTAGTAAATTTAAATTTGGGAGTGCTTATTTCTGTATTTACAAAATTATCGAACAAGTCATTGAATACTCTGACTAAATCCTTCAGATCTATTTTAGTATATAGTGCAGTGCTATATAGAGAGAGTTGACTGTTATTGAATAATTTGAATTATTTAAACATTCCAAGACTGAATGTTATTTTTAATAATCCAAAAATAATTATTCGGATTATTTCATAACAGTTTTTTTATTATTTAAATAAGACATCTAGAATATAATTGAGTACAATAGAAACAGATTTAGTAACTTTATTTAAAGAATTTGTAATGAATCTGAACTTAACGGGGATTGTTATGCAATTTTGGAATTGCATATAAAAATGGTAAGTTAGAACAAGAATAATTTGTATGTATATTACATTTTTAATGGCTTTATTTAAATTAGTAATAATAGTATTTTTTCTTTAAAGTACTTTTTGTAAATGTACTTGTAGTATTAATTTCATTAATTAAAATTTGTGCGTATAATTTTTGACACACAAAGCTAAAATTACATCCTGTTTTATCAATCGGGCTAATAATAAATTGTTCTTAAACTTGTTTATTATATTTTTAAAGACATTGAAAGAAATATCTATTTTATATTGAGATAAATTTAAAATTATTAATTGATTTTTTTATGGAAGTAATAAAATATAATTTCTATTCAAAAAAGAAACATTAAGAATATTACAATTTTTTTACTTATTTTAAAAATATAATTATCAATATTTTTTCCAAATCTTTTGAAATTTCACATTTTGTATCTTTTTTTTAAAATTCTAAATTTCGTGCCTTTCTCCAATATTGATCTTAATTCCTTGTTCTTGATAATCTGTAAATTACCTGTAACAATATGATTATGAAAAAAGTCCTTGAAAAACGCTATTACTACAGTTACAAGGCAATTTGCCGACTTCTGTTGGATTAAATTCTTCAGATAATTTTTGGTAGTTAAAGTGAAGAGGTCCTATAGGTTTATTATATTTAAGACTAACTATAGGTAGAAGTGATTTTAATGGAAAAATATTTTCTTGAACACTTTTATGGATTCGGTAAGGTAGAGAGGAGGTTGGTTACATAAGATCTATTAAAGATGGGTTTGCAGTTCTTTTTTAAGATCATGTAGTTCCACTTAATATCTTTTTGTAAGGGTGGGAGTTTCACATAGTAGAAATTTTAGGATGTTTTTTATTTCTACTTTAAGAACTCTAAGGGTAACTGCCTTCCCTCAACTGGCTGCAGGCAGTGAAAGGCTGTAGGAGTT